TTAAGGAAGGTGTTGTTCAGTTTCCATGTGTTTGCTCTTTTTCCATTGATCTTCCTATTGTTGATTTCTAATTTGATAGCATTGTGATCTGAGAAGATGCTTTGTAGCTTCCCACTGTTTTAAAATTTATTAATACTTGCTTTGTGGCTTAACATATGATCGATCTATCCCGAAGAATGTTCCATGTGAGACCAGGTTTGCTGGATTGATAGAGACTGGTGGAACCCCTGAGACTATGGTCCCTAGCTGCCCTTCAGGTCTGGAATTGAACCCACACCTGTGGCTTCCAGGCAAATAAAAGACAGGCATAAGGTTTGAACATGTACCTGAGGTAGATACATTCCTTGGAGAGAACAATCATGGGAGAAAGAAGGGCTATTTATGCACAGGGAGACAGTTGGAGGGCAGAAGTGCATGGAGGGGTGGGAAGGGAGGTGCTGCATTGGGGTAAATTTTTCATTCATGTTGTAATTTTGTTTTTGTACTTCCAACATTTTTCTGGGGTTTTGTCATGGAACAATGTGTGTGTGAATTGCTGTATGGAAAATAAATTTGCTCTGTAAACTTTCACCCAAATCACAATAAAAATAAATTTTAAAAAAAGAATGTTCCATATACACTGGAAAAGAATGTATATTGTGCTGTTGTTGGGTGAAGTGCTCTGTAGATATCTGTAAGGTCAAGTTGATGGACTATATTGTTTAATTCTGCATCTTTGTTAAGTTTCTTTCCAGTTGTTCTATCTTTCATTGAAAGTAGTGTATTAAAGTCTCCTACTATGACTATGGAATCATCTATTTGTTTTTTCAATTCTGCTAAGTATGGTTTATTTATTTTGGTACTCTTTCATTCCATACATAGATATTTATAATGGTTATGCCCTCTTGTTCAATCAATCTTTTAAGCATTATATAATATCCATGCTTGTCTCATATGGTGGTTGTTGCCTTAAAGTATATTTTATCAGAAATTAATATTGTTACTCTTGTTCTTTTTCTTTACCTTTTGCTTGATGTATCTTTTTCCAACCATTGATTTTTTGTCTATTTTTGTCTTTGTCTCTAAGGTGTGTCTCTTGTAGACAGCATATTGATGGGTTATGTTTTCTTATCCACTCTGCAACTCTCTGTCTCTTGCATGGTGTATTTAATCAATTTACATTCAGTGTAATTATTGAGAATTATGAATTTGTTACTGTTATTTTGTTACCTTTTTTATGGTATGGTTGTTTCTTTATTCCACAAAATTTTCCATGCTGAGCTCATTTTGTTTATGAGCTGTGTTATCATTCTCTTTGTTTCTATTATTTTAGAATTTTCTAAATATTTTGGCTTGTCCTCTTCTTTTAATTTTGATGTGAAGGTTTATCATTTTTCTTTGAGGTTATCCTGTGATTTATAATTTTCTTCCCAAGTTTACAACAGTCTGTTCTGTCTTGCAATTGTCTTGAATTCCTCACCATTTAGAAATTCTGTAACTGCCCTGTTTTTTCTTCTTTTTGGTTGTTTTTGTCTGCATTGGCCAATTGATGTCTCTGATTCCATGTTTATAGTCTTGTAAG